ACATTCTAGAAGTATTTAAGGTAATTATTTAGGTAGGGTCTACCATAGAACCTTCTAAAAAGGAGTTTAAAGTAGTTATCTAGGTTGATCCATGACTTAAGGATATTCTAGAAAGTTGAGGGTGGTAGGATAAGTTATAAATAAGACTGACTAAGGCCTTCTAGGATATTTGGTCAAGTATGGCTTTAGACATTTTTTCTTAATAAAGTTTGGTTTTACATCTTTTTGTTCAGTTTTTTTCAGTTTTATTTCCATCTGCTCAGTTGTCTTTCATGTCCTATTCTATGTAGTTTTATTTAATTCTATTTTGTCATATTTTGTGACAAGATTTTATGTTGTTGTCGAATAGAAGGATCTTGGGTTCTTGAGATAGTCTAGTCTTGTTTCATTTACAAACATATATAAATGGCTCAAGCTACAAGCACACCCCAAATTTTTATATACACATCCATTTTGCCTATATACACATTCAATGCTTCTTATTGGTTGATCCAAATCATTCTTTCATGTTCCCCTCACAGCTCTTGGACTTCTCCCTCCTCTTCCTTCTTTTGTGTTCCCTTGCAGGTCTCGGACTTCTTTCCCCTCTTCCTTATCCCAGCCCAGATTCTACTCGTCTCTTTTCTTGTGAGCTACTGGACAAAAAATTTGGGAAATTTTGGATTAACCAATCAGAGGTATTTGGGGTGTGCTTGTAGCTTATAAATATGTCTATCTATCTCTATATAATTGAAGTTGTATGTGTGTATGTGTATACAAATCTTCAACAATGGTTTTCCACTGTTCTAGAATTGGAACAATTGCAGGAAATCCATGGACAAGGGCTGGAAAAATTCCCAGTGTGTAACATCTGCTCTCTCTCAGAGCAACGGGCCAGCTGCCGCTGCTGAAGTAATGCACATCCTTGCTAGACTGTGTCTGATGAAACTCTTACTGTTGCCTCTCCTGAGAAGCTGCTATCTCTCTCTCTCTCTCTCAATATCTGCTTGTCACGCCGTTTGACTCTCGAAATGATGAGCGCAGGTTTTGAGTGGTTAGTTTGGGTCCACTCGCACGAGGTTTATGAGCCTGGATAAGAAGAGTGTGAAGCTGAAGACCCTGGAAGTCCTCACTTGCAGGCTCCGATGCCTTGGTCCCCAGTTAGCCTAACTCGTGATTATGTTCTTGTGAGCCCACATTTTTGCACCCGAGTACCACTCTAACAGCTCCCAGAAGTAACTTGAGTGCACAGGTTTAAGATTTTTCTGCAGAAGGCTCAGCATGGAGCTGGGCATCATGAGAAGTTATCAAATACGGGCTATGAATCACTTCATAATTGGACTTGATAGAACTCTGCCGCCGGAGTTTCACCTCCACCATTGAAAAGTTTGCGCATTCACAGTGCACCCGCAAGTAGCATACTTTTTTGTGAGAACTAGCGTGTGACTCATGCTTGTTGGATCCGTTATAATGGCGCAAACCTGCCTGTTTAGTGGGCCGCCAGTTACCACAAGGACGCATTTTTTGATCCAATGTTTCACTATCAGGACGGAATAACCCATTTTTTCTGATATCGTGCTGTTTGTTGAATAGGTAAGTGAGACAGGGAAAAATGAGTCCGCGACTCTTTCAGCATGGCTAGGATGTTTTTGCACCCATGTTAGAGCAGGCATACTCTGGATCCTCAGATACAGGTTTGCCGTCGTTGCAGTCAAAGTCCACGCTCAACAAAGTGTTCACCGCGTACATGGCATGTTTGTTCGATCTGCTCAATCTTCTATCAAGCCCGCAGATGTTATGAGAGCATCACCACTGTATTGTGCGAAATCTTTCATCAGAAGCAACACAGATCCATTCCCTGATCCATTTTCTCATCGATTCCAACTGAAGCTCTAAGCTTCGGATCCTGTTTGTGTGCACTATTTCTATGATGCACTTTCCACACACCAAAAGTAGGCATTATCCTACATGCTTGAATTGAAGACAGTGAGGTCAGAGCCAAGTCGGCGTTTCCTTCACCATCCCTGCAGCTACTTCTCGCCGACAATGGCGACCCAATCACTGCATCACACAAATCTTTGCATTCTTATTCATGATCCTACAGAGCAACATTCTCACACATGGGTTACAAAACGTCCCAGGCAATAGAGAAATGCAATGTAACTCCGTTTCTGTGTTGCAGAAAACGATGCTTGTGAGACACATCAAGGGGGAGATGTGGCACACTATTTGATATATGTTATTCAACCTGAAAATCCATCAAAGTTGTCCATCATTGTTGCATGTCTGTACTGCATGTCAAGGCAAGGCTTCATGTAAAACCCACGTCAGCAGCTGTGCTGAAGTGTTGACATTGTGTCGGTCGAGTGAAACCAAACCAGAAGCGGCTGCTAATTATGGTTCCTATGGAATCTTTTAATTAAATAGGAAGCAATCAACAAATTTTCACTTGTCAACAAAAGTTAAATTAGCAGCTACAACTATTGCTACAAAAAAAGTAATTTGGACTTAAAAGGTTTTATCATAATTGTGTGAAGTAACTTGTTATATTATTTTACTAAACAATATATAGAGATATTAAAGGTAGAAGTGATATATTATATCAAATAACATCCAAATGCAAATATCATTACTAAACCAATGTGTAGATCTAAGTATGTTGTTTGTAGAAATATGTTAAATCTTGTTGTAGCAAAAGCTTTTGTTTCTTGTATAAAAGAAGATTGTTATAAGCTATACAAAGGACTATACAGCAAGCCAAAATAATGGTCATTTTTTAATCCTCTATTTCAAATATTTTCTAAGTTAAATTTTAATTAAGTTATATGTTGTATTATTAAAAACAACTTGAAGTATTTTACGTGAACTTATATCATAAATGATTTCTAGGATTGATGGACTTTGTTTTTATTATAGATTTTTTTTTTTTTTTTTTCTTTTTTTTTTGTTCATTTTTTGTTTGTTCATTTATTTATTTATTTATTCATTGTTTTTTTCTGTTTTTCTTTCAAATTATACTTTGATTTTAAAAAAATCATTTCTATGTACTTATTTTTTATTCATTAAAAAAAAATCAATCCATGATATATTGTTCAAAATTGTAAGATTAAGTAAGATCTATTTTTTATATTATGTTATTTTTATTAGATCTTATAGTAGAGCTAATATTTCTAATAATACTGAATACTAATATTTCCTAATATATATATATTGATTTCAAGATTACTAAGAAATGAATTAGATTATCTTATACAATGGCAGAGATATGATTCCAATAACTATACACATGTACTATCTAAAAATATTCTAAATATCCTAAGAAGAGTTGTTCTTTATATATATATATATATATATATATTAATGATAAAAAAATCATGATGAGAAAAGGAACAAATTTATTAAAAAAAATCTACATAAATGTATTATTTTTACTAAATTTGTCTTTAATAAAATAAAAAAACTAACAATTAAGAATCTATTTTTAAAAATATTATTTAAAAAGCTACCAAGTAAACAACTAAAGGTGTCACAACTTTCATGGTTTCAATATGAATATTAAAATATTAAATAAACATATGATTTTCTTCATATAAAAAATAAAATGTTTTATTGGATATATTATATTTTTAGTATAGTATCGTATTATTTAGTGAGAATATTAGAAGAAAAAAATAGACTAGATGGCATTCTAAATGTGTAAGTCTAAGGTAATTATAAAGTTGGCAATAATGCTCAAATAATGGATTTTTAAAAAATATGTATGTTATTTCAAATATGAAATATCATCAATAGCTCAAAGAACCTATCAAATATCTTAATGCTTAGTATTTACCGCAATTAGTTGTATTTTATTTTTATTTTTATTTTTTTCCTATCTTAGACATTAAGAACTTGTTAATTAATTTATGAACCACTCTCCTTAGAATTTGTTCATGTAATTTTTAAAAAAAAAAATCTAATGACTTTAATATAACCACAAGTAAATATATGTCATATTTTTATTTGCTTATTTTCATTATTATACTTTAATTACAAATAAAGAATAAAATTTTAAATATAATTCTACTGAATCATACATAAATATAATAAATCATACATACATATATATTTTTACCAACCATCTATGTATACATGTATATCAAATATAAATTAAAATTATTCTTAAAATTAGCCCATATAATTATAGACGTTTGCCATAAGTTTTTGAGTGAATATTAATGAAGAATACCTAAATTGAAATTTATTAAATTGAGTTGTTAATTTTGTAGAAGACCAAAAATTTAATTTAAAGAATGAAAAATTATTATTTTTTTGTAGTTAAATTAATATTATATTTTTTCTAAAAGAGGTACTTTTAAATAAATATGTATTAAGTCTTTTTATATTTTAATATAAATTTTATATTTAATTATTATTTTTTTTATAAATTGATCAAAAAGTTGCTAGTATAATTTCAAATAACACACTCAATGCCAATGTTACATATTTATTTATGTGTCTGTATAAAAATATTTACATGAACATAAAAAAAAGAAGATACAATTGAATTCATTTTTTTGAAATTAATAAGTTTTTAGTATTTAAATATTCAATTTTGACATTGTTTATATTTCCAAATGCCATCAGCAATATATTGACTGCATTATTGGAATCTATTCTAAATAATATTTCATTCTCATGACTTATCATCAAAAATCATCATTTAAAAAACACTACAAAAGTATATTTACTAAATCTGCAGCAAGTGGCAGATACTATTATGTTCACTCATATTTAAACAATCTAGAATTCCAAGTACGCAACAACTATCTTCAGTTCTAAACTAAATTAAAGAATGCAGTAGATCTAACTCTCTTCCCCAAAGCATTAGTTATTTATAAGTCGAGGGAGGGATGGTTCCAACAACGCAACTTAGAGAACCGAAGCTGACAACCCACCACTATGGTACCCAACAAACAGCAGAACTAAATCTCATCCAAAGCACCCTCCCTCAAGCTCTCTACCCTAACAGGAATAGAAGTGGCGCCGTGCGATGGGAACAGCGGGGGATGGAAGAAATTCTTACATACCCCGACCTCATTCATTAGGAGGGATTCATTCCAGTGCAATGTGGCCACGCCATGATGCTTACTTCACTCACTCACTCACTCAATCACTCTAACTCCTTCACTGACTCAGTGTTCACGCCAAACTCCACACAAACCCCCCCACCCTCCTCCCCTTTGCAAACCGCTCTTTCCATCTTTGTCTGACTCAGCCACTGCCAGATTAACTTAAGCCAGCCCACCAGTGGTCTCCATGAACAAGGGCCTGCACCACGAAAGAGAAAGACAGAGAGGGAGACAGAGAGAGAGAGAGTGAGAGAGGGGGTTCTGGAAGGGGGAGACAGAGAGAGAACTACAGGGGAAATAGAAAGGGGGGAAGTGAAAAGCAGTGCCGTTTCCAAGTGCTTCAAAGTCTGCGAACCCTAATCGACTCGTGCTAAACCGAAACCATCGCTCCTCCCGGTAAAGGAAGGGAAGGGGGAAGCGGAAGAAGACAAGGGCAAGAGCAAGGGAGGCGCATAGAAAACTAGAACGCGCTCGCGTGCTGGCGTTTGTTCTAGTAAATCTGTGCGCACGGCCATGCCTTCCCGCTAAGTTTGTGCCATTGCCACGGGGGTTGCCGGATCATCACCTCCACAGCGGCGCCGCTTTCTTCAATCGAAGCTGTGCTTTGATTGATTAATTGGCTGGCCCCATTGATGCGAAGGGTTTTGCACCTCAGTCAGTCATGGCATGGTGTTAGAGGGTGTGGGAACTTGTTACTTCGTACGTGGAATCCGGCAGAGAGGGAGGGCAAAAGATGGAAAACGGGCTCCAGGAGTTCGCGGAACAGATGTTGGCCACGGCGGTGGTCGGGAAGGACCAGGACGTTGTGAAGGTGTTGACGAGCGTGGAGGTCGGCGATGACCTGAAAGATACGACGATGACGGAGGTGGTGGAGGAAAAAGTCGGAGGGGGGGGCGGTGCAGAAGGGGGAGAGGGGGAAGAAGAAGAGGATGTGTACTCCATGGAGGTGAGTGACGAATTGGAGAAGAGAAATGAGGTTGTTGCGAAGGAGGCCGAGTCGACGGCTGTGGCCGTGGCTCCCCCCGAGCTAGACAAGAATGATGACTCTCCGAAGGAGGAAGATGTGACGATGAGCACGATAAACGACGAGCCGACGAGTGAATCGGGGGCCGCGACCGAGAGAGGTCCGGCAGAGATCCCATTTGCCGAGCCGGCAGCCGGCGCGGCAGCAGCAGCAGCATCCGAAAAAGAAGATGTGACGGATCTCAACGAAACACCGAAGCTCGAGCTAGAAAATGAAAGCGAAGAGATGAGAGTGAATGAGGCAAGCCCGACGCCCCCGACGCACGACCTTGTGGAAGCAGCCGAAGAGCTGGAAGTGCCACAAGAATCTCCGGCGAAATCAGAAGCCGTGAAAGACGAGGTGGTCGAAAGAGTGATAAGGCCAGCCTTGGATGTGAATGAGCCGGCGGAGGCATTGAAAACGGTGGAAGGGGTGCATTCCGACGTCGCGCCCTTCCGCAACGTGAGAGCGGAAGAAGCAAAGGCGCTGCATGATGCGGAGACCAAAATGGTGAGCGCCGCGGCATGCGTGGCGAACGAAGCAATGGAAAGCGCGCACGAGGATGTGCGTGCCGCGGCGCAGGGAGAAGAGGAGGTTGCGCAAGTGAAACTCGAGCCCAAAGATGAGGGGCAGTCTTCCGGACAGGTCGATGATATTCGCTCGAGCCAAAGTCAGCCGAACGGCGGCGCGGACATGGCCGTGGATGCGAAGGAAGGCGACGCAGGCGTGGTGCCGAAGGCGGAGAAGACGGAGTTGGAGCGGGAGATGGAATTGTACGAGGCGTCGGAAAGAGAGGAGCAGGTGTGGTTGCTGGCGCCGACGAGAGTGGAGCAGCAATGCGAGGAGCCAAGCAAGGATGTGCAGAACGACAGGAAACGTGCCCTGGACATGCCGACGCAGGAGCGGCAGAGGAAGCAGAGCAGGAGAACGCACGCGGCAGAGGAGCGGAAGAAGGACGAGGAGGACGTGTGCTTCATCTGCTTCGACGGCGGGGACCTGGTGATGTGCGATCGCAGGTATGGTGGTGTTGGGAGCGGACGAGGTTTTGTGAGAGATTTGGTGCACGTCGGCGTGCAAATGCGTGGGGCATGAGGACAGTGACGGCAAACGTGGGATTTTTGAGGGGATATGGGTCCGGGCGGGAGGTCACGTGGTTTGACGATGTGCTGGGGACGGTGATGCAGGTCTTGTCCGAAGGCGTATCACCTGAGCTGCATTGGGCGCGACGCCGCCTTTTTCAAGAAGAAGGGGGCATGGTTGTGCGGTGCGCGTTCACTCGCCCAGCACGTGGTTGTGACGGCGTTGCAGTTAGTGTTGTGGTCGTGTGGTGGGAGTCGTGATTGAATGGAATGACGAGAGTGGTGTGTGAGTGTTGTGGTGGCACGTCCGGCAGCCGGGACGGCGTGGGTTGCGATGGGGACGTCGCAGTGGTTGCATGTGGATGATGTGGAGTGCGGGTGGTTTGGTGCAGGATGGCACTTCTGCTCCGTGTGCACGAAGCCCGGAAGCTTTCAGTGTTACACATGCCCGACAGCTTATTGCGGGAGCTGCATCCAGGAAGCGGAGTTTCTGATGCTGAGGAAGCGGAAAGGATTGTGCGAGGATTGTTTGCCGATAGTGAGCATGATCGAGCGGAACGAGACCACGAATGCGGACGGGGTAAGGGGCTGGATCCGTGTGTTCGAATTTGGGGGCAATTTGGGGGCAATGCCGGATAGGCGGCAGCAGTGTGGGTGTGTGCACCGGGCGAGGTGCGGAGTTTTGGAGCGGGGAGTGGAGGTGATGGAATGATTGTGGTGAGGTGATGGGGGGACGATGGGCTGACGTGTGGGTGGTGTGGATGTAGGTGGAGGTGGACTTCGAGGATCAGGACACGTACGAGTGCTTGTTCAAGGAGTACTGGGAGGATCTGAAGAGGAGGCTGTCGTTGATCATGCCGGAGTTGGACAAGGATGGGAAACCGGTGGGCGGGATGGGGAGCATGCTGAACAGCGGGGGGTCGGAAACGGAGGATCACTCGGAGAACGAGGAGTCGGACAGGGAGTCGGACGAGTCGGAGCAGGAACATCCGGAACCCGTGGAGGCGGCGAGGAAGGGGAGGGGGAAAGGGAAGAAGGATAGGATGGGGTCGGAGAAGATGGAGGAGGACGTGGACCAGGAGGAGGGGGAGGAGGAGGGGGAGGGGGAGGGGGAGGAAGAGGAGGTGCAGGAGCAGCAGGAAGATCGGGGGGACAAATTCGAGAGCTGGGCGTCGCAGGAGCTGCTGGGCTTCATCGAACACATGAAAGAGGACCCAACGAAGCCGCTGTCACGGTTTGCGGTGAACAAGTTGCTATGGAGCTACATCAAGCGTCACAGGTTGCAGGACGCGCGGAAGAGCAGCCAGATAAACTG